TCTCCAAAAGCCAGAAATGATTTCTTCCAGAAGTGAGCCCAAAGGATCTCAGGGCTGAGTGGGATGGTGGGACAGAAATGCTTGGGATCTATTTTACTTTTTAACCTTCAGTTAGTGAAGTGAATTGAGAAGCTAATCACATGCCATTGTGGGAGTTTGTGTCCGCTGGTGGTAATAGCATCAACTAGAGTGATGGTAAAGAAAGGTCAGGCAGAAGTCTGGAAAGAGAGAGGGAGGAGAGAAGATATGAGGGGAGTGAGCAGAGCCTCACCATGCACCTTTCTTCTCTGTTTAATTGCAAATAAAGCAAAAACAGCTTGGGTAGCCTCTCAACCTCTTAGCTAAAGGGAGAATTTGCCAGCCCAGGCCTCAGAGGTGTTTGGGTGTTTGGGGGCAGTTCTCAGGCGCTTGACATGCCCCATCTGGCCTCGTCCTCCTTCCCCCCCTCCCTGCTGAGCCCCAACCCCATTCATCTGGCCAGCCTGGCCAGCCTATCCCCAGAATATAAGCACCCCCAAATGGGATCCATTTCCGGGTTGGATGTGTCAAATTTCACCTTTCTCCAAGTGTCTCCATGCCTGAACTTTGAAAGGAGGAGGAACATTCTGTTTTGGAATGCAATGTGTGTATGGGGAGGTATGTGCTCAGACAACTTCCCCCACCGTATCTATAAGAAACTGGAGGCTCCTTGGGTGAGCCATGCTTTGGTGTCCCCAGGCAGACCTAGTTCCCTGCATTCAGGTTCTCTGGTGGACTTGGAGACTCTCTTTGCAATCCTTTGACTCTGGATTCTATGGCGATCAAAGGAACTCCTACACAAAACACTGGGCATTTGGAGTAGGATTTATTTTTTAATTTTTAAGTTAAAAAATTCTAATCATAAGCCAGTCGGGCCAACTGAGCAGTCGCCCTAGAACAGCAAAACCTTAACCAAACAGTGGGATTGTAAGGTGAGCTGAACAATTATTGAAACCGCAAGAGGGATTTCAGCCTTTGCCCAGTGGCACAAAAGGGGCTGGTGGGGCCACCACTCTCCCCCTGCTCTTGAAATCAAGAATTGGCAGGGGTGAGTGGGGCAGCTGCAGTGACTGCCGGGCAGCCAAGCGCCCAGGCCGAGCGCTGAGTCCTGCGGCTCCCGTGTCCAGGTCCTTGAGCAGCCTCCGGAGGCGCCGAGCTGTGGTTGGTGGCGCCGGCAGCCAGAAATGGAGTGTGTATCTGTGTGCAAGGCTGGGTGGGTTACAGACGTCCGCGCAGAGTTGGGGGAATCTAGGAAAAGAGAGAAGATTGGCAGAACACAAACTAGCTAGGACCCCTAGAAAAGATTGTCCCCCAATAAATATTCCAGATCTCAGCCCTCTCACTTCAGATACCCTTCCCCAAGAAATTAATATATTTTCTAGAGCAAAGTGGAAAGCAAAGGCAGGCAAGAGGAGGCCTGCCCAGGAACCCCTTCCCAGCCAGAGTTCAGTCACACCCACCATCTCCCCAAATGAGAGCTGCACAGGCTCCCAGCCCCTGGCCTGGAGCAGGTTAAGGCTGGGGCAAGCGTGCTTGACTCATTCTGAGTAAACCTTCAAGTACCCAGCCTCCAAAGCACCCCTTAGCCTTGGGGACTCCTGGGCAGGGACTGCCCCCCATGCAGGCCCATGGCGCCTGCAGTAAGTTCCTCTCCTATAATTAGCATTCATGAGAAGCATGTGTTTTGGACTGGGAACATGGGGGGACTGGAGCAGCAAGAGGCAACTTTCCCCCTTTATTCCTTTTCTGTGTTTTTCTGAATTCTGTTTTCGAATCCCCTAATTACAGCTCCGAAAGCGAAAATCTGCTCTTGCTGCCAAACCCCCTCGGAATGCCTGATTCCGGAGGCCCAAGGGGCAGAGCGACTCGGAGACCTGCGGGCCTGATGGGGGTGTTTCTCTGACTGCTCTAGGCTTGTTTTATAGAAACAAAGAACAAGTCCCCCCTTTCCTAGGACTTGTGCATATTTACAGAGCTCAACTGCAGTTTTAATAAAACATCTGTTCTTGCTTCTGCTGATGAGTTTCCATAATTGTTTTCAGACAAATTTAACAGGAAAATATAAATATATTTAGAAAAACCCAAGTCCCAGCTATCCCCCCATTGACACTCGTTGTTTCGCCCAAAAAATAAAATTAACATAAAATGAGAAGAGGAAAATATAATCCAGTGGAGGGAAGATCGGGCTCATCTGACGTGCTCTCCCCCCTTGGAGCGAATCCTTCCAGCAATTTCAGCTGCATAATTAAAGATCTGACTGAAAGAAGGAGGCTTCTTTTTTCAGGAATGGAAGGTGATGGGGGAGAGTATGTTGGAAATTAATTTTGCCGAAAATCTTTAAGCAGTGGGGGAATTTATTTGTATTTCTGCTTCCCCTTCTCTCCCCCTTCCAGCATTTCTGCCTTTTCCCCTCAGCAGCTGGTTTCTGTTCATTATAAGTCGGCGAGACCTTTCAGTCTCTGCCCTCTGTTTAGGGACGTAATAAAACACTTAACTTTCCGGGGCTGAGACTTACATTCTGCTCCTCAGGTCGCCTACACCCGCGCCCACTACTTTCAGGCCCCAAAGGAGACTATCCCCAACTTTAGGGCCCCTTTCCCCTCCAGACTTTGTTTAGGAGGGGCTCAGGGAAACCCAGGCATCCTTGCTGGGGGGAGCCTCTTCTTTCTCCCAAGGCCCTTCCTTCCCCCACCCCTCATAAAAGAGATTTAAAAATACATAGAAAATCAACACTCATTGAAAGTGAAACCTCATTAAGACATCCTATCTTCCCATCATTCAATTTGTTGTACATTGCAACAATTTAATATCTTGAAGGAAATATCACTGACATGATTTATCCCTTTAGCAATCTCTCTGAAATGGGGGGGAGGTGGAGGGAATTTACTCTCTCTTCCGGCCTGTTCTATGTGTTACACTGCTACCCTTAGGGCAGAAATGAGGCTGGGAACTCTGAGAGCGGCTGCTTATGTCCAGGGGTGCGCTGACTTGTTTCTTAGCTCAGCCCCCTGGGTCTCTCCCCTCAACCCCCAGTTCTTTCTTGATCTACCTCTTGCCCTCCAGGGGGCCTGGAGCCCCAGCCAGCTGTTGAAAACCTCTGTCCAGGCATGCCATGAATTGGAGGACAGCTGGATTCTAGAGCAAAAAGCAAGTCATGCTGGTGTCTGTGTTTAGGTACCTGCCATATTACCCCAAACCAGACAGCTCATCTCTAGATCTCTTTCTTAATTTGGAACCCTCCTTTACCCTTTCACTTTTATCTCCTTGAGCAGAAGAAAGTATGGTCCAAGAGGGGGAACCTTTATAGTGATAGGGGTCTTTCTCCCACCCATTTTAATACCAACAAATTTCCCTCCTTTCTGAAGGATTGGGGCTGTATTTTTAAAAGCCAACACAAATTGCCCGGCAGGAAGACTCTTCAATCCCCCAAAGAAGCTCATGTATTAGCTAACATGTTGTCTCCACCAGCTCCTACACACTGTCTGCTTTTGGGTTTGAAACTTTATTTTTCCCCCCTAGCGACACTCCAGGGAAACCTTAACGTTACAGAAGATGAATAAACGAGTTTTTTCCCAGTGTAGTCCCGTTTATGGCTTTATTGCTACCCATTGATTACTCCGCTTTGTTACACAGAAGGAAAAGATCATAAAATCCGGCGACATCCGGGTTCTTGTTATAGCTAGCCCCCCCAAAAAATGGTGAGGAAAAAATATGAGCTTCCACTGCTCCCTTCGCTAGCCCCACTGCCCCCTCTTCGTCAGCTCAAAGCATTTTCAGCCTATATCACGATATCAAATTAAGTTTGGATTACTCAGGAGAAAAACCCCATCTGCACACTTTCCGCTGTTTCACTTCACCCACTGAAGCTCCCTCAGAAGCCTGGAACTCAGCTGCCTTTTCCTAACCTTCTCTTCCTTTTTCTCAGCCCCAAGGTGGAGAGAAAATGGGGATAGGGGCTGCTGGGAGGCCCCGCTCAGCCAGGTGTGGCTGGCCCTTGAGTGAGAGCTCCCCAGGAGACCTTTGCTGGAATCTCCCAAGCCTCAGAGCTCAGGTCCAGGGATGCCTCCCTTGGCAGGGCAGAGTCCGGAGGGGGCTGGGGGCTTCTGACTTGTGCAGGGGCTTGAGCCTGCCAGACGCTAACTGTCCTTCAGAGCTCCACCAGCCTTCTCTTTCTGCCTGGATCCTATGTGAATTACCCCACCGGCCCTCGCTGGCTCCAAATCATAAATTCTCACCAACATAAACAGGAGTTGATGTGTCTAGAAAGACTCTCAGAGTTCTTTCTTCTTCCTTTCTTTCTTCCTTTTTCTCTCTCTCTCCCACCTTTTACTTCCTTCTCTCTCTTTTCTGTTGTATTTTTATATTTTCCTTTTAGGGAAAAATGCTGCAGGATTTTCCCCCAAAAAGGGTGTTCTGAGAGGCAGAAGGGGGCTGAGAGGAAGAGGAAACCCATGCATGGCCCCGCTGCTCACTTCAGCTCTGCCACCGTGTCCTGAAGTCTCATCCTTACCCCTTTAGACCTCCTTGCTCCCTACATCCCCCTTCCACCTAAGACTATCAGCCACACTTTCCTTCCTCTGAGCACTATGTTTTATGCAGTTTCTTCCTGCTTTTGATTTTTTTAATTATTGGGGAAAAATATTGGTTTAGTGATGAGGACTCAGTCCATGGAGGATCAAATTAAGGTTTCCTGTAGGCTTTCTGGGGGATTCCCCCCTGAGCTGGGGTGGGGGGGCTCATCCCATAAAGAAATCAGGATGTAATTTTAGAAGGGGGGAGATATAAAAGATGAAATCGGATTGAAAATAGAGGGATTTCTCCAGACCTGGCTCTGCACAGCACAGCAAAGTTAGCTGGGGCTGAGAGATTTCCTAGCAGGGCAGCTCTTCTTCCCTGGGCCTCACGGCCCTGCTAATGCCTATTCACCCTTCTTCACCTCCAAATCAGTTCCCTAACATATATATATATATATATATATATATTTTAAAAGAAATCCAAGTCTTACTTTCAAAGCACACACTTAGTCTCAACTAGGGAATCAACAGAAGCAGAAGCGATTTTTTTCCCCCTTCTTGACATCTGGCTTGCGATTGGCTGGAAGAGGGTCAGCTGACTTTGTCATTTTGTCTGTCCTGGATTGGAGCCGTCCCTATAACCATCTAGTTCCGAGTACAAACTGGAGACAGAAATAAATATTAAAGAAATCATAGCCCGACCAGGTAAAGGCAAAGGGATGAATTCCTACTTCACTAACCCTTCCTTATCCTGCCACCTCGCCGGGGGCCAGGACGTCCTCCCCAACGTCGCCCTCAATTCCACCGCCTATGATCCAGTGAGGCATTTCTCGACCTATGGAGCAGCCGTTGCCCAGAACCGGATCTACTCGACTCCCTTTTATTCGCCACAGGAAAATGTCGTGTTCAGTTCCAGCCGGGGGCCGTATGACTATGGATCTAATTCCTTTTACCAGGAGAAAGACATGCTCTCAAACTGCAGACAAAACACCTTAGGACATAACACACAGACCTCAATCGCTCAGGATTTTAGTTCTGAGCAGGGCAGGACTGCGCCCCAGGACCAGAAAGCCAGTATCCAGATTTACCCCTGGATGCAGCGAATGAATTCGCACAGTGGTGAGTTTTACAGCTCCGAGATATAAATTAAATAAACTGAACTGGCTTTATGACCGGCTTCCCTAGAAGAACGGGCGGAGAGAGTTTTTTATGGCCCCATAAAAACAATCACGCTCGTCTCCTCGCCGACGCCGAGACAGGGCCCCCTCTTCTGCCCCCTCTGCTCGCCTCCCGCTTGCTCGCAGGGGCCTGGCCCCCTCGGCCCCTGACGGGTTGGAGGGCTCAAGGCAAGCTGAGGGGGCAGGAACAGGGCAGGGTATGAGGGGAGGGGGTAGTAGGTGGCGGAGCCCCCCAAAGTCGAGTCAGGCTGAGGAGAAGGGAGGGGGGAGAGTAGGGGGCAGAGAAGTGGGGAGAAGTTTCCAAGGAGCTAGGGTGCTTGGGGGAGGTGGGGGAGCCCAGTTGTTGAGAAATAGGGCCCTCATCCCCAGTGTTTGGGATTTTTCAAAAACCAGTTTTTACACTTACAGCTTTCTGCCTGGTTCTTGGCCGCCCCCCCCCCCACCATTATTTGGGACACTCACCTACCAGCACATGGTGGGAGACTCAATGAAGTTGGAATCCTGGCTGTACCCCCAGTGGGGGTGGGGCAGGGCAAAAGGGAGAAGGCTGGAGTCCGAGGGGGCCCGTGAGCTGCTGGCCAAGTTGGGAGGGTCAGGACTTTGCTAGGCTAAATCGTCTATGGAGGATGCCTCGCTGATTGTTTTTAGTGTGTTTTGTGCCCGGATCTCTAGGGGTCGGCTATGGAGCGGACCGGAGGCGCGGTCGCCAGATCTACTCGCGGTACCAGACCCTGGAACTGGAGAAGGAATTCCACTTCAACCGCTACCTAACGCGGCGCCGGCGCATCGAGATCGCCAACGCGCTCTGCCTGACCGAGCGACAGATCAAAATCTGGTTCCAGAACCGCCGGATGAAGTGGAAAAAAGAATCTAATCTCACGTCCACGCTCTCAGGGGGCGGCGGAGGGGCCGCGGCCGACAGCCTGGCCGGAAAAGAGGAAAAGCGGGAAGAGACAGAAGAGGAGAAGCAGAAAGAGTGACCAGGACTGTCCCTGCCACCCCTCTCTCTCCTTCTCCCTTGCTACCCTCCCCCCAATTCCCTCCTAATCACACACTCTATATTTATCACTGGCACAATTGATATGTTTTGACTCCCTAAAACTAAATTAGGGAGTCAAATATGGACCTGAAAGTCAACTCTGGACCCCCTCCCTCACCGCACAAACTCTCTTTCACCACGCGCCTCCTCCTCCTTGCTCCCTCGCTAGCTCGTTCTCGGCTCGTCTGCAGGCCCTTTCCCCTGCCCAGGCCTTGGGGGCTCCGTCCCTGAACCTCGCTTCAGACTCCACAGATTTCCCTCCAAATGAGGACTTGGCCTCCCACCCCCTCGGCGCCTCCACCCCCGCCCCTGCGCAGAGAGCCGGCTCCCGGACCGGGGCCTCCGCTCCGGGGCCTCAGGGCCCGGCCTGGCAGCCGCGGAGGGCGAGAGGCCCAAGGAGGGCGCGTCGTGGCCCCACAACAACCCCCAGGGCCTCCCCGCAGCCCCACACCCGGCCCCTCTGCCCCAGCAAATGCCCAGCCCAGGCAAATTGTATTTAAAGAATCCTGGGGGTCATTATGGCATATTACAAACTGTGACCGTTTCTGTGTGAATATTTTTAGCTGTATTTGTGGTCTCTGTATTTATATTTATGTTTAGCACCGTCCGTGTTCCACTCCCATCTTAAAAGGGGAAAAAAAAGAGGGAAAATTACAAAAAGAGAGAAAAAAAAGTGAATGACGTTTGTTTAGCCAGTAGGAGAAAAAAATAAATTAAAAAATCCCCCCTTGTGTTACCCTCCTGTATAAATCCGACCTCTGGATCCGTTCTCGAATATTTAATAAAACTGATATTATTTTTAAAAGTTTATATCGGGATTTCTGTTAATTCGCTCGTGCGCCGGCCTGGGGTGAAAGTTGGAGCCAGCTCCGGGCGCTCTCGCGTCTTCCCGCCGCCTGCAAGACCCCTGCGCTCGCCTTTCCCGGGAGCCGGGCGCGGGTCCTCCCTGTCCTCCTGGTGAATGCGCTAAGGGGCCTGGGAGGGCTCTCTGGGCTTCCCAGCGGAGCAACACACTCACCCCGCAAAAAAAGGCCGCATAGGATCTCGTTGGGGGTGTGGGAGGGAAGCCTGAGGTCGCTCGAATTGGTCTCCAAACCCACAGAGGCCTTTCTTCCTGCCTGTGGTAGCCTGGGGTCCTCGGCTTCTGAACCCTGAGCCCCCAAGGGCCAGAAAAGAAGCCTTCGCCTGGCACCAGGGTCTCCCCCGTCCACTACCCGGAGTGAGGAGAGGGGCGCCGCGCGAGCAGCCTCCAGCCAGCGCCAGGCCTAGGCCGGCTGTTGCGAAACGTGGCGGAGGCGGAGAGCCGAAGGGAAAGAGAAGACCGCGGGATTTGAGCCTTTCCGCAGGGACTGAGCGATTCAAGGACATCTCGAAAAAAAAAGCCTGGAAACTGAGCTTGCTCTGGGACTCCTGACGGGGCTGGGACAAAATTCCTTCTTCTTCACAGCCCCAGTCGCAGTCTGGTTCCTTACTCCTTGGCCTCTAAAACTCGGCGGGTGAGGAGCGCAGCCAGACCCTAACCCTGCCCCAGCTCAGGCCTTCTCTCCTGAAGCCCAGCCAGAGAAACCTGAGTGGACCTAGGGAGTGAGGTAGTGAGGGGGTCTCCCGGAGGGAAAAAAATCCGCCAGAGTTTTCCAGACCTTCCAGATCCCCGCCAGCGCCCCCTCCAGCGCCTCCGCCGGCGGGGGGAGGGGGGGATAGGAGGGGGGCTTCTCCTGGCAGGGGCGGGGATTTCCTGGGGAGAGGCAGGCAGGGAAGAATAAGACCTGGGGCTAGGGGAGGGGGGTCGGAAAGGGGCCGAATGGCTGCGGAGCCCCTGGCCACAGGCTGTGAAGTTTGCCCAGGCGTCTGCCCTGCCCACCTCCTCCATCCCCCACCCCCAGCCAGGTCTTTTCCACGCCTCCAGATAGCTGAGGAATTGCTCTCCTATGGACCTTCTGTATCTAGGTCCCTGAAAACCTGTTCCAGAGGCCTTTTCCAAAAAGGGCACAAATTAGGCCTTTTCCTCTGTCTTGCTCATATAATATTTGTGGAGGTTTCAATCTTGCTTCTCCATGCCCTCAATTGACATCTATTTTCTATCCCAAATATCTGGCATAGAATACCCCATCAGGGTCATACACAGGGATGCAGAGCAGTCCTCCAAGCCCATTGTGTCTGGCTCTACACACACACACACACACACACACACACACATGCACACACACACAGAAAATTGCCTAGTTGCCACTCTGGGGTCCCAGCATGGTGAGGTTTACTCAACTCCCCCAGGATCCTCACCTCCAGGCTCATCCCAGAGTTCCCAGTACTTTCAGCTTCCTGACCCTCCCCCCTATCTAGTTCTGTCCACCCAGGACCCCCTTCGCTTGTAGCATCCTGTCCACCTCTCCAGGGGCTGGGTTCACTTCCCCATGCTAACAGTCACTTCCTCAGCAGTATCAGGGCCTTGGGGCCTCCAAGGAGAGCGACCTCGATGCTTGGTGTAGAGAACCTGAAGTAAATCCCTTGGGATCTCCAACTTGGCCAGGGACCCCCCTACCCACATCGCCTTTCCTCAGCCATTTTTGAAGGTTGAAAGGTTCTGGGAGTGGAGAGACAGGGCTATCCGTTAGTTTTTGTATCCTAAGCAAGACCTCATCTTTCCTTAAAATTAAATACAGTTTAAAAGGCCATTTCAAGGGTTTGTTGCAGCCGCAACTAGCGTCTCTACAGGGTAGAAAATCCAGCGGTCTGAAGGCGAGCCGACAAGCCAGGCTGCAATTCCTCAAAGTAGGCACCAGGTGTCGCTGTGGGCTCGTTGTCCCGGCTACCCCCCAATTCCAAGAACCATTTTTTTTTCTCCCCCTCTCTCTCTTTCTCTCTCACTCCCTCTCCCCCTTGGTTGGGCTTTGCCAACATATCAAGATGCGTTTCGCCGGCTTCCATCACTAACCTCCCGGAGGTCATCAAGCCAAATTTATGAGTGGCCGCTCCCGTCACGTGACTCTATTTAAGGCTCCCTTATTTGGGAAGAGCGCATAGGATAAAGAAAGAGATATCTCCACCTATAAATTGTGCACTTTGGAGAACAAAAAACCCCTCAACTTCAAAGAGTCACAAATCACCCTTAATCAAAAAGGGTGCAGAAATTTTTTTTGGGCCCTCCCCGCCATGAGCTCCTACGTAGCCAATTCATTCTATAAGCAGAGCCCCAATATCCCTGCCTATAACATGCAAACTTGTGGGAACTATGGATCGGCCTCAGAGGTGCAGGCATCCAGGTACTGCTACGGTGGATTGGACTTAAGCATCACTTTCCCACCGCCTCCGCCTTCCAACTCTCTCCACGGGGTAGACATGGCTGCCAACCCCCGGGCTCACCCCGACCGCCCCGCCTGCAGCGCCGCGGCCGCTCCGGGACACGCTCTGGGCAGAGATGAAGCGGCTCCTCTGAACCCCGGGATGTACAGTCAGAAGGCGGCTCGCCCAGCGCTGGAGGAGCGAGCTAAGAGCAGTGGGGAGATCAAAGAGGAGCAGGCGCAGACAGGGCAGCCCGCCGGACTGAGCCAGCCACCGGCCCCGCCACAGATTTACCCGTGGATGACCAAACTGCACATGAGCCACGGTAAACTTTAGGACTTCATTTTGCGCGCTCGGGTCCGCCTGGGTTTTATAGGCCATGCGGGGCAAATAAAGAAAAAAAACCTGCGGCCATAAATTTTACGATCCAGGCATCAATGGCTCGTAAAACTGTCCACTAAAAGGCTTAGAGGCTGTGTGCGCCCAAATTTACGACGACATAATTGGATCATAGGAACAAAACGTGTATAAAAGGCAATATTCAATTTTTGGGGGAGAGGGAGGGAGTTAAAAAAATAGAGGGATCTGAAGGGTGAGGAGCGCGGGGCTCCAGAGCGGGGATCCCCCCGCGGCTCCCTCCCTCCCTCCCCTGTGAAGCCGGCTCAGCCGGCGCTGGCCGCTCCGGAGGATTCCAGCGACTCGGGAGGGGCGGGAGGGGGGTCCCCGGTGCTCGGATCTCGAGGGTGCTTATTGTTCGGTCCGAGCCTGGGTCTCCCTCTCCCCCCAACCCCCTCAGTCCCTCCGGCTGCTGAGTGAAAGCTGCGGCGGAAAGTTTCCTGCCTGGGCAGAGGCGCTTCTCCCGGGGGCTAGACTGGGCTAGGCTGGGCTGGGCCGGGCCCGCCTGCGGCCCGCTGGGCCTGCCCTGCCCTGCTCGCCTCCTCTCCCTCCCGCGGCGGGTGGGGGCCTGGGCCGGGGTCGGGGCGCTGGGGCGCTGCACGCTATTCACCCCTTCCTGGCTTGCGGGGGGGGGGCTTATATTCCAGAGACGGACGGCAAGCGGTCCCGAACCAGTTACACGCGCTACCAGACTCTGGAACTGGAAAAAGAATTCCACTTTAACCGCTACCTCACTCGCCGCAGGCGTATAGAGATCGCCAACAACTTGTGTCTCAACGAGAGACAGATCAAGATCTGGTTCCAGAACCGCAGGATGAAGTGGAAGAAGGATTCCAAAATGAAAAGCAAAGAGGCTCTTTAGAGGCAGCGGGGAGGCCCGCAGATAGCACCCCGAGCCCGCTTTGGTCCCCGCGCCTTTCCTTTTCGGTTTTCCTCTCTATATTTTGGGGGCAAGGACGGGGGCGGCAGCACCGGCTCCGGGGCCTCACAGACAAAAGCTCTTTCCCTTGGCATTCTGCGTCCCCACCGACCCCAGTTTCCCGAGGGGCTATCCGCGCTGCCTGGACTCCCACCAGTTCTGCTCAGCACCAGGGGAGGGTGGCGGGCAGGGCAAGCTCCGCGGGGGTTCCCCAGAGGGCTGCGGGAGCCGGGCTGGTGCTGAACGAATCCGGGCCTGGGCTTCCTCTTGGGCTTCCAGCCCCAACGCAGCCCTCCGGTTTAAGGTGGGCCCAGCAAGCGCTCCAGGACCCGCGGCCGGACCCTCCGGCTTCCCCTGTCCTTTGTTCCCGGCTTAGGCTGGCCAGGCGGCTGGGGGCTGGCGAGAGTGGTTATGCTTGGCGGAGTCTGGCCCCAGACTCGGGGTGCTTCGTTGTAGCGACTAAGCTCCATGTTTGGCTTTTAAATGATTTGCATATGAAAGGGGGAGATGACTGAAGGTCCGCCTAAGGCCCCCTCGGTGGCCTAGGCTCTCCAAACCTTCTCACCCATCCCTAAGCCCGGTAACCTCTCCAGCCTGAGCCCCCGACCCCGCCCGCATGCCCTCTCAGGTCCCTCCACCTCAGACCACTAGCTAGCTCAACTATGGGGGTTCCTTGCCACTGGACCCCAGCAAGCAGTCCTAGGTTTCTTGGCTGCCCACTAGTCCCTGCCACAACTCTCTGTGCCCTCCTGCCCCATCGCTGTTGTCCAACTATTTATTGACTCCAGGTCTTTCCTGAAACTATATTTTGTCATATCAAATAAAGACAAAGAGAGAACAGGACTAAAGATGCAGCAATGCCTCTCTGTTTGGGGCATGTATTGGGTAAAAGTATCTAAATGGGCTATAGAATACAGGGGAGGCCCACAGCTTCTCTGCCTCTTTTGAAAAAAGAATTTTTAGGAGCTTCGAGAGGGATTGAGAAGAGGATGGTGAAACTGAGCTCCTTCCCAGATCCCTGGTTCCCGGAAGGGCCTTTGGGGAAAGGGGAGGGCACTTAGGTGGTGTGTACTGGCGTTTCCCACACCGTGGCTTGTCCAAGGCTTTCAGGCCTCTGTACCCCACTCCCACCTTGGCTGGGTGAATCTGAGGCCTTTAGACAAGCAAGCAGACCACTGTCTCCCAGAGCTAATCTGCAGGGCCTGGGGGCTCCATGGTGCTCAGACTCTTGGGTCCTTTTGGGTCTCTGAAGATCTCTCCCAGGCCTAGGTGGCCCATTTGGTCCCCAGAAAGATTCTCAGAAAGAGTTGGTACTGCTTGGTGAAGGGGTCTGGGGGGAGTTAAAGGAACTGTGTGTTAGCTTTTTAAGATACCAGGGGAGATGGGAGCGAGGAGGGCAGCCTATAGTGAACCTGCCTGGCCGGCAATGTGCAAACCAGTTTCTCCCACTTCTAGGGCCTAAGGCTACGCAGGACAATTAGCTGGGAAAGGAGCTGTGTAGACTGGTGCCTGAGTCCTGTCTGTTTGCCATCATTTGTCTCAGTCTCTGGGATTTTGTGTGGAGGGGGAGGGTGGACTAAAGGGAAGGGGAAAAGGCAGATAATTCAGGTGGTGCTGAGGCCCGTACTCTGCTCTGCTCCGGGCTCCTGGAATGGGATGGGGGAGGAAGTACTTTATAGGAGAAACAAATGTGGGAAGGGTCCATAAAACTTTACTGCATTTCCTCTCCTGCCTCCCACAACGGGGGTGATTTCCTGGAGCCAAGCCTAGGCCCCCCACACTGGGGGAGGGTGGGGTTCAGGAGCTGGGCTAGAAGGCTGCTCTTACAGCCAAGAGGGAAAGGGAGCAGAGAGACTCTGGGGAGGGGCAAGGGGAATATTTATGATTATTAATGCTGATGCTCCTTGAATTTATTATAAGGACTGACTTCTCTGCATCCCACTGCCTAAGCTATCCATCTGTCTTTTTTTTTTTAACCCAGGAGTCTTTCCTCACCCTGTGCCTAGCACGTAGGAGGTCTCAACAAATGTTTATTGATCTGTGCCCATTGCTGTGCCCTTCCGTTTGCACTCAGGCCAGGTTAGGGTGCCCGTTCGGTCTCTCCCTGACTAGCACACAAGAGTCTGCCCAGCCTAGCACCACCTCGGCTCCGCTCTCAATCTCTCTCTCTCTCAAATAAAATGTGTAATTTTCTTCAGGGAGTTATTTTAATTTTTTCTCCATGCTGAGTAAAACTATTGGGCGAGCGGTGAAGCGTGGAGAAGCACTGACGTCTCCAATGGGTAACGGTTAACTAAGAAAGAGGCCGCTGCGCCCGCCATCACACCCTCCAGCATCCCGGGCTGCAGAGGCCCAGAGCTCCCTCCCCAGGGGATGCACCGCCCCAGGGGTAGAACCAAGGGCTGGGCCAGGGCCAGGGGCCAAGTTGTCAGACCCGCCCTGCAGGGCCCACCAGCCCCTCTTGGCCCGGAATGCCTCCTTCCTGCAGTGTTAAGGCCTCTTTCCCTGGAGGAGCTGGAGGGTTGACTCAAGTTTGCCAGACTTGGGTGGACGCAGCCGCTCCGGCTTGCCCCCACCCTTTCTGTCAGGGTGTAGGCCTGCCCCAGGCCCCGGCCTCTGCTTTTGTGGTGTCAGCTGCCACAACTTTAGCAGAGGGCCCCGACGTACTCCCCTACGCTGGGACTAGGTATGGCCCAGACCCTCGCTTTCTCCCAGAGCGGAGTCTTCTGCTTTGAAGCCTGGGCTGGTTCTCCCAGCCAGCCTCCTGGAACAATCTGCAAGCATCAGGATTTAGCCTTGCCCTGGGAAAGTTAGTGGAGGGGCTTCCAAGTCCCAAGCAGAGACCATGGAGCCTGACTCCCCACTTTGCCCAGAAGCCCAACCCCTCTGGCAGCCAGAAAAAAAAAGGGGGGGGGAAGAAGCATGACTTACCTTCCCGGGGGAGTGGGAAGAGGGGGATATGACCCACTCTGAGCAATTAGAGGAGAGAGGAGGCAAAAAAAAAAAAAGGGAGGAAAAAAATATCAACACGACCTCGAAGGCGACAGGTCCTTATGGAAATAAGTAAGTAAATAAATAAATAAATAAGGATCCACCCTCTCCCCCATCCCCACCCTGCAAGGGGGGTGTGGGGGTGGGGCAAAGGAACAGCCCAAGGGCTTTTTAGTGTAACTGAGCATTAGAGAAATACGCAAGGCTTCTATGTGAATTTAGGAGTTTGAAACTTTTGGAGGTTATTTATGTGAATGGCCCGAAGGCAAGCCCGTGAGTGGCTCTTGGGGGACCACGTGATGTCATTAAACCAAGTTTTATGGTGTAGGGAGAGCTGACAAACCCACAATATATTTACATCATATATAATCTTAACTGTCCAGCCACGCAGCTGCTGGTGAGGTTTAATGCTAGGACAGAGGGCCTGGCAGTTAGAGGGGATTACGGCGCTGGGGATGATGGTGAGAGGTTACATCTTCGCAAATGAATCCCAGGCGAACGCTGTAAGTTAATTTTCTCTCTCTCTGACCCTTTCTCCCGTTTACCTAATCCCCCCTCCCCATGATAGAAGGCAGTTCCCACTCATTAAGGGGAGGGGATGAAGGCCTCCCCAGGCATTCCCAGGCTAGGGTGGAAGAGTAGAAGCCGCTGGGAGGTAGGAGGATGGGGGAGCTTGTCTCCTCTGACCATTCTCCCCTCCCTGCCCTTTATTTACTCCAGCTGCGAGTCAACTGTGGTAGAGAGGCCTGGGTTCTTTAGAGCTCTGCCAGTTCTCCCTGACCCTCTCTCCCTTCTCAGTTGGGAAGAAAGACTGCGGCAGACACATGGGTGTTTGGTGTTTGTAGGAGTGTGCCAACTCTAGGGGCAAGCGCAAAGGGCCTCTGGGCCCCCCACCCCCGACCAGGGAGGGGGCCAGTTCAGCCCTTGAGCCAGTGGTTCAGAGTCCAGGCAGGTCAGGCAGCTGGAGAGGGAGGCCAGGAAGGCAGGCTTTGGGACTTCTGAGTCTCCAGGGTGCGACCTGAAATTGCAGAAGCATCTTAAAGGAAGCTGGCTGAGCCCAGAGAGTCCCAAAGCATTTTCTCTTTCCTCACCACCAGGCCTGGTGGCCAGCTGTCCCAGCATCTGTAATCTGGGGTCTTGGTCGGCCTGGAGCCAGGGTAGTTTCATGCCTCCCTCTAGCTGTTGGGATCTTTCCTGGCATTCCCAAGCCCTTGCCTGAGGCAAAAGTAGGCCCAGGAGGGACTACTTTTAAGAGTATAAATGGGTTGGAGAGTGGAGGCAATGTCTTTACTAGGCTGACCAGGAAAGCCCCCCAGCTCTGGGGAGAGAGTGGCTTCCGGGTGGTGGAGTAGCTATCAGGGCCCGATATGGGCATGGAGTTCTTCTGCCAGTCTCAGGCTCAGGCTCCCTAACGGTGTCTAGGAAGGAGGCTTTCGGCACAGGAGTCGCGTGTCCTCCACACCTGCGAGTGCAGCCCCCTCCCCATGCCGCACCCGGAGCTAAGCCAGGACAGCAATGACATAGAAACTCAGTCTCCTTGAAGGGGCCGACAGAATCCTACTGAATCTGGAGGGATTTGGAATCAGGGCTGAAGGTGGGCCCATGGAGGGCAAGTGGACCAGGCCAAAGAAAAAGGAGAAGAGTGGCGGGGCGAGCCAGGTCTGCACCTTCCCAGAAGGGAGGACTGCTGTGGGGATCCAGGGCACACGCTTTTGTGGAGAAGCGCGGTTGAGGACGGGAAGAGGATATAGTTAGTGTGCCCCTGCCGCCCAAGGGGACTGAGGAGGAAGCAGGACTCAAGCAGAGACAGAGAGCCCAGGCCCGCTCTGAGAGAGTGAAGGGGAACAGAGACCCAAAGACACGCCTGAGCCAGGCGATCTCCAAGCCCAGCTCTACCGGGCTCTCGCTTGCATAAGCCGTGCTGAGGCGGGACCTGGGGGACTCCCTGAAGCCATCACTCTGGGGACCCCTGTCCCAAACCATGATTGGGCCTCCCTTGGTACCATAGTCCTCCCTACTCCTTTATTTCCCAGGGAAGCATGAGGATCCCAGAGGATTTCCCCAGGAGCCCATTCAAAAAATTAACTCTCATATTCTTCCTTTCTCATAATTAGCCCTTTCCACTCT